GGGTGGTCCAGAGGATGGGGCGCTTTCACCGCATCTTAGAGCCGGTATAAGAGGAGGCTGATTTCTATCTCCAGGACTAAAATTCATCAATGTATTGGTGTACATTAACAGAGCACTGACATCATTTAACCCAATCTTTTGTCCTTTCTTACAGGGACTGAACTTCCTCATTCCCATACTTGACCAAGTTCGTTATGTGCAAAGCCTTAAAGAGATTGTTATTGACATTCCTGAACAGTCAGCTGTGTCCCAAGGTAAGTTTTTTTTGAAAAAGTTGTGCTTATTATTGGTCTATTGGTCATGGCTGAATGAACTGATATGTTCTCTATCTTTACACAGATAACGTGACTCTGCAAATTGACGGAGTCCTTTATTTGAGAATTTTAGATCCTTTTAAGGTACGTTGCTAAGAAGAAGCGACGAGAAACTGGTTTGTAGTAATCAAGGAGCTGTCTTTTACCAGCAGGTGGTGCCAGATAGCTGGATTAAACACGAGACTAATGAGTTCTGTGTCTCTCCAGGCCAGTTATGGTGTAGAGGATCCAGAATATGCTGTGACTCAGCTCGCGCAAACTACAATGCGATCAGAACTGGGCAAACTCACGCTGGATAAAGTATTCCGGGTAAGAAACTTCTGCACTGCCTTGTGTGTGTGTTACATTACAACACAACAATGATACAGGTGTGTACCTTGAACCTGCTGCCTCTCTTTGTTTTCAAGGAAAGGGAGTCTCTTAATTCCAACATGGTCCACTCCATCAACCAGGCATCAGACGACTGGGGAATCCGCTGCCTGCGGTATGAAATCAAAGATATACAAGTTCCTCCTCGTGTTAAAGACTCAATGCAGATGCAGGTAAGACACCGTGACATTTGGCAATATTCTGTGCAGTACCACCTCGTTTTTAGGTAACCTAAGCATTATTTTCCACGGAGGAGAAATATTTACGTCTTTGTTCTCCGTTTCCTGCGTAGGTGGAGGCTGAGCGCAAGAAGAGAGCCACAGTGCTGGAGTCCGAGGGGACACGAGAAGCAGACATCAACATCGCAGAGGGTCGCAAACGGGCCCAAATCCTCGCCTCAGAGGGACAGAAGGCCGAGCAGATAAACAAAGCAGCCGGTTGGTTACATGCATGAATCCTGCGATCACAAATTTAATTGAAGGTGTTGTAGGACCGTCATTACTCTGAATCCACAAAGCATTTAATTGCATGCCGGCAGACTGTGTTACAACACTACACAAGGATCTTCCTCAAACAAACCAAAACATGCGAGCACATTTGAGTAGAAGCGAATCAAGAGGAATGTTGAAATAGGAGGTTTAAAGCCCACAATATACTGTAAATCCAAAACAAATCAACTTTGGTGCTCCTTTACATGCTGTGTTGTCTCAAGGTGAGGCCCAAGCTGTGTTAGCCAAAGCAGAAGCCAAATCCAAGGCCATTCGTCTGCTGTCAGATGCTCTGGCGGAACAGGTATGAAGTAGATCTATTATGACGTAATGTGTCATTAAAGGATTAGAAATCATCCTGGGTTATTTGGAAAATGTTATTCCCAGTATTTTACAGTAACCAGGTTGTGTTCCTGACAGAACGGGAATGCCGCGGCCTCGCTGAGTGTAGCCGAACAGTACGTCTCCGCTTTCTCCAACCTCGCCAAAGAGTCCAACACGGTGCTCCTGCCCTCTAACACCGGGGACGTCAGTGGAATGGTCACACAGGTACACTGGTTTCGCCCCACAAATATGCTTTGGGGTTTACTCTCGAGAAAAAATATATCATATTTCATGTTTTTATCAGGTAATATCTCTAACTATTGTGCTCTTTTACCCTCAGGCCATGACTATTTACAGCAGGCTGGCCAAACCGAGGCCACGACTTGAGAGCATGAAGACGGATGAACCCATTGAAGAGCCTCCAGTCCAGCCAACGTCAGCTCAGTAGCTGTGGACGCCGTTAATGCTCTAAACTGTCGCTGACACAAAAGAGGAAGAGGTTTTACCACAACTATGGAGCACAATGGCACCGCTGTGTGGACTCGGTGTCTGGTGCAAAGGGCACAGGATGTCGTGACGGAGGAACGCCGCTGGATCAACGGAGACGATGCTGAGCGAGGAAGAAGAAAAGAGAAACTGAGCCACGAATGATAACTCTTGTGTTGGTGCTGCTTTAAATGGACGTTTGCTGGCTGTTATATCATGTCGAAAATTAAATATATTTTCGAAAAAGAAGTTTATTTTGATGTTTTTTTATTTTCTATATTGCATATAAAACCCTTTGAAGTCAAGAAAGTTGTTGGAAGATGCAGTGTAAAATAATTCCTTATAAATACATTTTTTTTTATGTTTAGTTGATGACTGGAGAAAAGGGAAATGTGGGCACCAAGAAAAATAAAAAAAACAATGCAAAACAAAGATTTGTCTTTGTTTCTGAGAGCAATGATAACATGTGTTATTAATATTATAACAGTGTGGTTTCTCCAGTTTTAGTACAACATCTCAGATCCACATGGCACCTTCAGCTCAGATGAGTTCTCTGGTTCCAGTTCTGACATGTCAGTTGGTGTTCGAGGGTCATTCAAGTGCATTTTCACAAAGCTCCTAGTTGTTATAAATGTGCTACTAACCTTGTTATAAGTGGAACTGTGTAGTTTCCCCTTCTTGGGATGTGCTGATTTAACACATAGCTTTTCTATTATTCTGTGTAAAATCTGATACGAGTCTTTATAATGTTTTGATTGAGCCGTTAACCTCAAATATTTCAACTGCGTGAGACCCGCTAGTGTCAGTTTGATTTTGAGACGGTTCACCCAAGTTCATCTGTGGCGCAGCATGGAAGACATCTGTCAAACGTAGCAGTGACTCCTGAGACGTGAAGTTAGTGGTACGTGACAAATGATGTCATTTTGGATGCAAAATTAGCGTATTGTTTGTATTGGTTTTGTTTAGCTGTATTTGGTTTGTTTTCAGCCTCAGGAGAGGATCGTGGTCAGTAAATAGTTCATCAGAGAGGTTCAAATTCAAACCTGTAAATCCTCTCCTTTTAGTGATTTGATTTTAAACAAGAACATTAGACCCTCTGAGGTATCAGCAAGCCTCTAGGTCCCTCTCTACCATCTCTAATTCTACGCTCACATGATGGAGAAAGCAATGACTGGAATGTGGATTTTGGTTGCACAGATTTCAACACAAAGCATACTGCAAGCAGACACTTGCCACCGTGTGTGTGTGTGTGTGCATGTGTGTGTGCGTTTTTAGTCCTTGAAAAGGCTGGCAGTGACTGGCCCAAAAATCGGATGTTTTCTCATTCGAGCGTTTCCCAGACACACCTCTTTCTCCTTCCTCGTCGCGGTTGGCCTCCTGCCTCCCATCTGTCTGTCCGTCTGTGTTCCCAATAATTTACTTTACAGTCGTCGGTGACGGCTTTGCCCTAAAAGAGAGGGGGGGAAAAAAAGATATAATTTAGACAAAGCTCCTGCTACTGCTCACCTCCTCTTGCCCTCCCCTCCTCCTCCATGACACACAGACACAGATGCCCACAGCCTTGGGGCGGTACAGTTAAGGAGGTATGCAAAGTTTGACACTTTTAGGACCTTGAACGGCAAAAACCAGAGGGAGAAAGAACGAGAGAAGAGGCGAGAGGGGGGAGGGAGGGAGACAATGATGGAGCTCGATGACGTGTGAAAGGAGTAAAAGGCAGAGAAGGTGTGCGGAGCTCCAGGTGTGTGATACCAAATGTGTGGTCTGTCTCTCACGCAAGAGGACATTGAAATAGGTGAATAGAGAAACCGGCAGGACTCGGCGACAGCTGACATGAAGCAGAAACAGCAGAGAGAGAGAGAGAGAGAGAGAGAGAGAGACATCAAAGGTATTAGCGGCTCATAAAAAGGCACTTAGTGCCGCAGTTAAGCAACTCACACATGCATCACCGCTGGCTGCTACTGAACACACATTTAAGTCTTCCTGGCAGCTGCTTCCATTACCAGGGATTACAAAGATGGAAGGACAAAGACCTCAAGATAACGAATCAGAGTGACAGGGAACATGTGAGCTTCATCTGGTTTCATAACTGACAGTCGGATCTCTTTTTTGGCCCTTTTTTTAAAAGTTCTAAAGAGCACAAATAGGCTGTCCAGTGAATGTAAATCATGTGAAAGGAGGATGAGGGCATGTGTGAAGAGGAAGAGTTAGTGTTAGTTACTGGGAATAAAAAGAAGTGTGCTAGTATAATCAGCTACAATGCAGAATCAGCTCCTTCAACTACTTCACTCCGCCCACAAGATACAATCCTCCTATTCTTGTATGTTTTCTCATTCACTCCAGCAGGACGTCTATGAGCAGGACGCACATTCACTCTGGTTGGCCTTTTTTTTTTTTTTTTTTAAACCTCCTGCTACTACTCTACTTTTTTACTTAGAATTTGGAAAAAGCTCTTCCCTCTTTTTTTCTCTCTCTCTCTCTCTCTCTCTCTCTCTCTCTCTCTTTGATGCTTCTCAAAGGATCAGGCAGCCCGACAGAGAAACTTGTGACAGATTTAGAAAGAAGAAAAAAAAAAAAGACAGACAGAGCTTTGCCCCGGAGGTTCACGAGGAAGAAACAGGAGACAGATAAAGAGGCAGGGATAATCTGAGCGAGGGAGGGGAAGAGCACAGCTGGTGTGTGAAGGGAAAATACAGATAAAGCAGGCAAGTGTGAAGGGCGAAGGGGAAGAGACTGACGAAGACAACCAAGGCTGGAGAGAAAAAAAGGGAGAGACAAAGGTCAACAAAGACATACAGAGATAAAAGGCAAACAGACACCTGACATCAAATCAAACGGCAGCGAGAATGGAGACGCAGTGCACCGCTGAAGTGAAAGAAAAAAGGAGCCGAGTTTGACGCCGAGAAGGGGAGACGGTTTCCTCATCATGTTTTATTCAGCTGGTCTCCCAACTTCAAACAACCTGCGCCGGAAGAGCAACTTTGTCCCAGGATAGAATGAAGAGAGGAGCAAAGAGATACCTGCCGAGTCTGTGATACCCTCCCGCTCCTCCTTCTACTCCTCTCCTCCCTCACTTTCTTTCACCTCACTAACTTCCTCCTCCTCTGCCCTGATATCTCCTCTCCTCTCCATCTCCTCACTATGTGGATACCAGCTTTGCTCCTATGGATGCTTAATGTCAGCAGTTTGTGCTCAGGACAAGACTATTCGGACTACTACCCAACTGGAGACATGGCCACCGAGGTGAGACATTGAATTCCCCCTTCATCGATAAAAACCCATTGTCTGTTGAGGAGTTTCACTAACTTCCACAGCTTGTGAATGTGTGTCTGCTGTTGATTACATACAGGTGACAAATTAAAGGAAAAGAGAGAAGGGATATCAAAGCTCTGTGCTCTTTTGAAAGATTGTAATACTTGTATTTAATACTTAAGTACAGCTGCAGTAGTTATTGTACAGAGCAGGTACAAGTATTGATCCGCCATCTATATTGTTATGATTAAAATAAACTCAATGGACTAGTAAAATGCTCCTACTAGTAGGTCCATTAGAGGAACATTGTGTAACATTAAGGGCATCTATTGGCAGAAATGGAATATGAATAATCACCTAAAAACAATAATTGTTGCTTTCAGTACCTTAGAATTAGCTTTTTATATCTACATACTGCCGCCATGTTTCTACAGTAGCCCAGAACGAACAAACCAAGCACTGGTTCTAGAGAGAGACACTTGCGTTTCCACTTATTTGGCCACCTGTACAAATCGTACACACTGGAGATTTAAAGGAATTAGGGAGTCTAATTTCACACCCGGCTTATTAAATCACTTCCTTTTCACACGTATTCAAATAGTCACAAACATGTTTCCTTTTTGTAGAGTCACAGCTCGTGATGTCAATTGTCTACTTTACTGTAAATGCTGTTCATGAGCCAACCAGGAAACTATTCACTGCTTTTCTGTGGAAATTCAAAAGCGTGTCGGGCAGTGTCTTTTCTTGATGTTGAAATAGTTTACTACAACGGGATTGTGTTCAAATTCACTGGAAGAGATCTTAGGTAATACAATCCTCTTGGAGTTGAATGAATGAATCCCAATCATATATTTTGGCGGACTAGCTCGTTATCAGTTGTTTGAAGGAGTAAAATTGTGTGTTTGTGCGTATCATTAGCTGCAGACATGACAAGTTTATACGAGAAGAAGGAGCGAGTGACGAATGCATGTGCGTGAGTCTGTGTGCGAGCAGGATCTACTGCTGGACCCCAGAGTGCTGGTCATTCGTCCATCATGACCTCATGGTCCCACAGCGATGACCTCATGTCATGCAATCACTTAACAAGACAAAGGAGAGAGAGAGAGAGAGAGAGAGAATACATCTGGGAAGACTTTGAAACAAAGAGAGAGGAGAATCCATCCTTCCAACTGTCAATATTATCATACATGACTTTAACAGTTATGGAGCCTTTGGTGGTAAATTGGCTGCGTGCAAATACCAAAATCTGGCCCCCCCCAAAAAAAGATACACTTGCAGAAAATATGTGCGTAAATCAGTGATGTTTAAGGACAATATACTGGCATTTGTAGCCTCTACTTCACTCTGAAAGTAATGGCATTCCCATCAGCCTGCAGATGTTCGCATGCCATTATATCAGCATGTGAGCACTGCTGTTCATCCTCAAAGAGCCACTCGCACGGCTGTAGCTTCTTAGTCTTGTATTCTATGTGGTCTTGTTCAACTTCCCATTGGTTGTCGCAGCTTACCGCATGTGTTGAGACATATGAGATGTCTGGAAAGAGACAGAGTGGGAGGGGGGCGGAGGTAGACGGAGAGACGGAAAGAGATAACGACGGAGATCTGGTTTCTGTTTGGGTGATGCCAGCTGAACCAGTTTGCTCCTTCTCAGCCTGGGAAACTAAACAACCACGTTCCCTCCCCGGAGGAAGCATTCATATGTGATACTCAAACGGGCCGACATTTGGTCCCCACAGACGATCCAGCAGCCAGTTTGTTACACAAGTAATCTTTCATCTGCCGAATGTCAACGGAGAGGAGTCATCTATCACGATGGCAGAAGAAAATCATTACGGGGATGACTCATGGCGGGAAATGTTGATGGAGCTACTGTAAGCTGAAGATTTCCTGCATAGACTTGGTCCAGCACATAACAATACGGCCGACAATCTCCAGTCCGATTGGTCCATATCAGCAGGCCTAATGCTGCATTTAAGGACTACCCAGCAACTCATTTCTAAATATTTGAAACAAAAATTCTTCTTTTCGGAATAATACCAGAACAAATCGATTGATAAGTCGACCAAAGGGACTTAGATGTAGAACGAAACATTCAACCAGATTGGTAAACTGGGTCAGATCACAGCGTCTTTGCTCGAGGGCACTGCAGCAGCAGGGCAAGTCATTTCCAATTTGATCACGTTGCCTCTGGTGACTCTGTTTTAAGTTCCTAGCAGTCTGGAAGCTTTGAAAGGGAACCACAAGAAAAGAGCAAGAACAGCAATACTAAGGCATGAAGAAAACGCAGACTTTGTAGCTTCCTCGTGTACTCAAATGCAACCTGGCGTGTGTGTGTGTGAGGAGAAGACACACGTACCCATAATAACTAACAATAGCCAACAGTAACATGTTACAACACATTGGTAGCCGCGTGAGGTATTCACTGTTCATCCAGCTCAAACCAGCGAAGCTTACCCTGTACATTCTACAGTATCTAATAGTTTTGCTCCAAAAAAGAAAGACGAAGAGTATCCTTTTCAACCTTAGTGATTACAACACTTTCTGGCAACACATAAAGAACTAAATATTGTCATTGACGTCACATTTGTCTGCATAATTCTTTCCTGTCCTCCAGGCTCCAGTACTGTCAGATGACCAGCCCAGTTTGGAGTCAGTGACGAGTGTGGATCAGCTATTACAGCTTCTCTACCCCGAATACAGTTTGCTTCAGCAGTGCCTGAGGAAGAAATCCTGGAGCGCCTCCTCTTCTTCCCCGTCTTTTTCCTCAGCGAGCCCTTTAGTCCACTCTAACGCCGAGGATCTGTGGGGTCAGCCGAGGGAGGAGGCTCTTTTCAAAGTGGACGGGACTCTGGGAGGTAAAAGACAAACTAGTGGTGTCTAAATATATTATCAGATAACGTCAAAGCTCTCTTGTATCAGCTACTTAATCACATGTGTTTTCAGTCATCTTAGAGGAGATCCAGCGGACCTCATGCCAGCCCAGAGAGGTGTGTGTCGAGGTGGCCAAAGAGTACCCAGAATCCACCAGTCAGTTCTACCTCCCTCGCTGCGCGGCGCTGCATCGGTGCGGCGGGTGCTGCACCAACGAGGCCTTTTACTGCACCAACACAAGTCACGCGCTCGTCAACAAGACGGTGAGTGGTGCAGCTTCCTGTTTACTCCCATGTCGGACACGTCTGAGCACTCGGACTGTTCCAACACTCGCTTCGCATTACACGGTCGTCTTGGCATTCTTCTGCTCTCACGCCTCAAACTGCCTCAGGAAAGAGGACAGAAAGAGACCTACCCAGTTGTGTAACGAGCTTGTCTGTATCACAAAACATCGCCCTACTGCAGTGGGACACCTTTTGGCTACAACTGGACATCAAGTGAAGAGTCACGCACAGTTGCACAATCTTGCAATCATTACATCATCCTCTACACGTCAGCCGAAACACTTCATAACACTCACAACCAGTATTCTCGTAAAGAAGGAAGAAGAAGGAAAAAAGAAAGAAGTATACACTCTACAGTTTTGTTCACACACACACACACACATCTCTAACCTTCATCTTTCTTTTCCTCCCGCCAGTTGATGGAACTTTCCCCGCCCAGGATGGATCGCTCCGTCATCATGGTAACCTTCGTCAACCACACTTCGTGCGAATGCCTCTCCAAGCGGCCGCTCCACACCATCATAAGACGAGCCGCGACAGATCACCTGTGAGTGACGTGTGTTTGTTTACACGCATTTCTGAGTTATTCGTCACGTTTTCCGTAGATTTATAATACATGCGTCTGTGCAGGTGCTCCCCGCCCGACCTTCCCTGTGCCTCTGGGTCATTGTGGGATCCAGTGAACTGTGTGTGTGTCTCCACAGACGCCATAAACTACTCTGAGAGAGAGACAGGTAAGGGTGCGTGAGTCACGTTGGTCAGTTAAGACAAACAGGGATCACCTCACCAGTGAAGGGTTTGAGTAGTGCGATGATACAGCAGCAGGTTCAGGACGGGACATCCAAAATGTGCTCCACCTCAAACCCCCGCTGATCCGATTTTGGAATGTGGGTCAGATTTCGGCAAAGAATTCTATTCAAATATTCCACCACCACAGCCTGGTGATGATGATGTTGCCTAGGCGGCAAATTAAACAATCTGAAACCACTTCCCCCCCGAGGGAATGTTTATTCAACCGTAAAGTGAGAAGCGAAAGTGTCTTTGAGGCATTTTACTTGTACAATCATGTCGTGAACTACAGGGCCTTCAGTCTCCAGTTACTTTTCCTTTTTCTAATAATAAACTGCCCTTATTGATTGAACGTAGAAACCAATGGGGAAGAGCGTGACTGATTAGAATCAGTTGATTGCCATCTGTGCGTGACGCGGCTGCAGAAAGACGAAACTAAACTTTTACTTTCTTCCCTCTTGACTTCCAGATGCGCTGGACTCAGGTCTGCTGGCTCTCTGTGGGCCCAACAGGGTTCTGCACGAGTCCACGTGCGAGTGCGTTTGTCGAAATGGACTCACCGAGGACAGCTGCGATCCAGGATGGAAACTGGACCACAACACCTGTAAGGAGGGTTTCAGTTACTGAAACTATTTTACGATGTGGGGAAGAGAATTAAAAGTCAGAGTCAGAGAGGAAGTCAGGAATTTTTAGAGGATGTAAAGAAAGAACAAACGAATATGAGGGGGAACCAGCGGGAGTCACACAGTAGCTTCTCATGCTCTTTTGTGTGAAAAGTGGTTAAAAATACCTCTTTTTTGTGGCTTCCTCTGGTTTCACAAGGATTGATTTACTGTGAATACACCAAGTTCCCAATAAAAGGCTTGTAATTTGGAAAGCAACCAGGCAAGATGGAGCCAGAATGGAGAAACGCAGACAGAGGGAGGTTTTGGGAAATAGGGTTTTATGCAAATATCTAACAAGTCAGAACCTGACCACCAGATATTTGGCAACAACACCAACAGAGCTGCACAATCTAATATCTGATGGTCTGGATTTCATTGTGAAATGAAACTCTCTTCTTCTCTCAGGTGAATGCCAGTGCGTAGGTCAAGGCGAGGGGAAGTGGTGCCCGACCGGCCAGCGGTGGGACGACGAGCTGTGTGGCTGCGTGTGTGCCGCAGAGTGTCCCGGGAATCAGCCCCTGAACCCCGACACCTGCCTGTGTCAGTGCAGAGAGAGTCCGCAGTCGTGTCTGCGGCAGGGCAAGAGGTTCAAACCCAACTCCTGCAGGTAGGCGTAACAGACGGGGGTGGTCGTGTGTCCTCGTCCTGGTTTCAGGCCTCCTTCAGCAAAACACTGAATCTCTCGGCTCTGCGGTCTTTTCTCTCTGTGGAAAGAAAACAGAGAAATGCACACTCTTATCTTTCTTCTGCATCGGAAATATGAGTCTTCATTGTTTCTTGTATTAATCGTTTACAGGTTATTGGTTCCTTTTCCTAATTCCACAGTTGCATGAAATAAAAAATCTGATGTTAAACCCGCCGTTCCAGAAAACTTGCAGCTGTTCTGCTTTTGACAATAACAGGAACTACGTATTAGTTCACTCTTCAAAGCTCCAACTCGTTGGGACTGTAGTTAAGGACAAGACAGCAACTTCAATTTGGAGACAACTATTTTCCAATTTTTTCCAAATTTAAATGCAGTTACCTGAACCAGTTGCTTGTACTGGGCAAACTGGTCCCGTCTGCGTGAGTTGCTGACTGCCACCACAATTCTTCACCCTGAGATCTCAGCGAGAGAAAGGGGTGAGGAAAGAGAACCAGAGCTATGAGAGACAGGGAGTTAGAGGGGGAGAAAGCAAGCGAACCCTCAATGGAAATGTCATGCATTCCAAACGTGAAAAAGAACAACTTTCTTCCTCCGTTTTCTTTAGCTCACATGTTTCAATATGGCCTTTTATGGACACATAAAAAACGTCGGAGCGCACGGTCCCAGCTGCGTTGTATTGCATGCGTGTCGCCGTTCCCACAGCCGGCACGCAAGAGCTCAACCTCCCTCTGACCCTGAGAGGCCTGCAGAGAGGCAGACAGGGTGCACTGGATGACGGGGAGCAGACAGACCCGGAGACGGACGGAGGGACCCAAAGGAAAAACACGAATGCAGACATGAGCTTTGATACGAGGGATCTCGAAAGCTCACAGAAGTATCCACGAAGTTAGGATTCTTGAATAAGTGGTGCAACCCAATACAATATGAGGCGTTGGCATTCGAGTATGCGCAATACTTTTCCCATCATTCTTTTGTCTATTTTTTTTTTTGATTCAACATCTGGTCACAGGAGGTGGTGCACAGAAGACAATACACCGACTGTGATTTTGAAGATGAGTTCCCAGAATTTTGGCCTTATTCTTCCCCTCTCCTGAGCATTTCTCCCTCTTTTTCTCATGCACAGAATCGTTTGATGCACCCTGGATTGGGGTTTTATCCAAAAAGGGATGTGAAGATCTGAATAATTGATAGTATTCATGCCAATAGAGTATAAGCTTCCCGGTGTTTTTATTTTTACTCTGTTCCTCCAACCCTTCCCATAAAATATATTATGTTCCAATCCTTTCTGTCTTCATTCCTGTTGTGTATTCACTTTCTCCTCTCTGTTTTATTCTACTTTCCATCTTCCTCTCGGTTGTGCCTCTTCCTCCTCTGTCTAGTTGTTACAGGTTGCCGTGCAGAAAGCCCAGACGTGTGTGCCATGGTGATTTTTACTACAGCCACCAGGTCTGCCAGTGCATCCCCAACCACATGAGGCCTAAGTGGAATTGACCAATCACAGGCAGGCAGAGGAGCAAAGGCTGCAGGCGAAGCCACACATCGCTCCTCGACGTGAAGCTCAAAACCTTTTGGCCTTCAAAGAAAGTGGAAATTAAGGAGGAAGTGCCTCCTGAGAGGAAGGTGGAACTACACATGTGCTGGACCACAGCAGCACTTAGAGGAGTTTTATGAACGCTGTCTGTGCTCTGACACTCAAAAAGGAAGACAGGAGTGCTTCCCAGTGAAACAAGGACAAAACAGTATGCAGTTAAACTCACACAAAGTGGAGTAATCTCAGCCAAAGACAAAACGAGGAGATATGTTTAACTCTTATAACACCAATCACACTTACCTAAAAGCAGGACAGCAGGGATGGACCAATCAGACGCGGAGCCAGCACTCATCCCCGCTGCAACGTGTTGGAGCAAGATATTCAACCACCGGCATGCAGCAGAGACACCGCTCACGACTGTGTGAAATGGAAAGTGGAATAAAATAATAACAGACCAGACTCCATGCTTTTATGTTTTGTTTAAAGATTAAATAAGCTTCGGGCACTTTGGCAGTCTTGAGTCCCGAGATGTTGAATGGGTTGAAGGATGTATTTTGCAGAAATCATGTCATGTTTTGTTGCCGGGGGGGGGGGGGGGGGGGCCTTATATTCCCTCTTTTAGCAGGAGGTGGAAATGGTGACAGCATGTTTGGGTGATCCATTCAGAGCACCAGAGGCTGTTTCCAACACTACAGTTTCATTTGAACAACAATACTGAAAAGAACAGAGTGAGGCTGCTTGTTTCTTTGTTTGTTTTTTTACATAAAAGTCTAAACTTCAGCCTTCTCGTTTTGTCTAAGAGAGAAGAGGTTTAATGCCAGACCCTGTTTTAATTAAACGCTAATTTAAACAAACTATTTTATCATTTAGTTTCTACTTTCCTCTTTGAACATTTCTCTCATACGAGGCTGAATCCAATCAAAACTGATGGCAACACTTCTAGTAATTTAACTTTACAATCTAAGTAATATTATTTGTAAATATTTAAATCTTTTTCATATTTAAAAGTGATATTTTGAAGAGGAAACCATGTGGAGTTGTAAAATACTGTATTTAAGTCACTATCAATACTAAATATTGTTTTGTACTCCAGCAGTTTTAATTATTATTGTGAATTTGATTTGTTTTTAATTGCCCATTTTCCTGCACTGCAAGATCAATGTTAGCCTCTAACATACAGCTTTAAAAAAACAATGATTTTTGATTGAAAAAAAGTTAGGTTGAAGATTGCAGTGTAGAGATTATTGTTGTTTGTGATATATGGATGGAGAGCAAATTTGTTTTCAGGCAGTTAAATATTTAAAATTAGTTATGAAGTATTGATTTTTTAAAATATTGATCTTTGTCAGACATACGTTTGTGTCCCTGTTTCGATAATGTTAAATATTGTTTTTTTTAGGGTACTCTGGCAGCGACAACCTGTGAGAAATATAAAAAGCATCTCCTGTGTGTTATATATATTTTTGTAATAACAAAAGTTCTGATTTTATTTTGTCATTTAAAGCAACACTATGTAACTTTTGCTTAACACCTGCAGCAAATGACGATTATGGGATGATGCTAAGATGACTTTATATATATATATATATATATATATATATATATATGATAACAATCAGCCACCATGTGCTGCGCTCACACCAGACTGAGGCTGTAGCAACACCCCTGAATGTACTGAACTGATCAATTGTGTATTTTATTGCCCATGAATTAAACTTTTCATTTGTAAGAGAAACAATGTGCTATTTTGACAAGTCATATGTTGTTGCTGTGTTTTAATACACACAACACATTCTGCCACTGCTCCTTTAAAGAAAACGATTGCGTGTAATCTTTCCCGGAAACTAGATTACAAATGTTGCATTGCTCATGTTTCCAAATGACGATCTAGTGAAAAGTTGCACACCTGTGGGGAGGAACGTGACTCTTCCCGTGGTCTCCGGTTTCTTCTTCTCCCTCCTCTTTGTGGGTCTCTCTTTCTTCCTCTGCGTCTACCACAATAAACAACATTGCCTCAGATGGGAAACAAAGAGATCACCTTTGTGTCTGGCCCGTCTCGTGACCGTCTGCGCCATTAGGTGACTCCAGTGCATGATTAATGGCCGAGGGTTATTCCAGTCATATGCACGTTTGGCTGCTCTGCTTACAATCATGCAACACAGAAAACTACCCTTAAAAGTGTCCTTGATAGTTCATTTAAATTCAAATATGTCGCGAGCATGGTGGAGAACGCACCCGTGGCAGTTTGGTTCCTCTTGTTTTAGCTTCACGTTGGCATCGGTGAGACGGACACGAAGTGAGGATTTATCTCGTCCAATACCGTCTTATCTGTTGCCAGCGCACCGGAGCAATATGACCCTTCCTTTTGGAATAAACTGCTCATTCCTGGGATGACAACACGCACTTCTCCGCTGTATCGGATATCATTCTGGAAGTCCAACAGATTGAAATAAGTTTTATTTTTACTTCAAGAACAAAATATAAACCCCGAGCTCCAACACCCACCTTATAGAATAAGAGATTGAAACTCTTCAAATATTTACAAAAGATAAATAAATATAACCTGCGGCCTATCCGGTTATTTATTACTTTCTCTTTGAAGGGAAGAGAAATCACAATGTTTCTAAGGTCTTGGACAGTTCAGTCAACATGTTTCAGTGAGAAAATAGAATACGAGGCAGAATGTCAGCGAATAATAAACTGAACATGATCATAGTGTAGTTGGTGGTAGTTATTGCTAAAGGAAATAGAGCCTGGTGGATGTGACTGGAAGAGAAGCCAAGTCCCTCCAGTGGAGAGCAAATAATAACATCTTGTGCTTTGAAAAAATAAAATGTTAACAGAGAGATTGGTGCACAGCGCCCCCTACTGGTTGCTCAAGGCGAGGACAAGCACAGACCCAATAAAGCCCATAGGGATATAAGAAATACAATTAGTATTTAAACAAGAATTATACAGAACATTTCCCAAAAGAAGATACAGCAACTTTTCAAAAATTTAGAAAATTATATGCAACCATAACATGTTAAAACAGCAGGACTTTCAGATGCTTCAATCGTCGTACAATCTCCATCACTTTAAGTTTAAGCAGACAGGAATCGAGAGTGCAAAAAGCAAACAATGGCGTTATATGGCTTACTGATGTGAAAAATATGTATCCTAGTGACAGCAGGAGCAGCGTTGTCGTCTTGAGTCAGTGTTTTTTGTTTTCACAGCTTTCAAGAGTCCCGACTTCAAGCCACAATTCTTAATCTCCATACCAGGTGAAGCAGCTGGAAACAGCGCGGCGGTTCCAGAGCAGGCACTTCAGTACTCGCTGTTCTGCCGACGGTCCGACTGGGATTCCAGTTTCTCTGTCGCGTGATTGGCCGTTTCATGTGTCTGTTACAGGCACACGCTGCAGTGAAAGTCGGTTGAGCCCTTTTTCAGTTCTGAAGCCTCCAGACGAATGCGTTGTCGTCCAGAGAGCTCTGGTCCGCCCGGTGCCTCCATGCAGCTCCACGGCTCAGTCTGTTATGCATCCAAAACGTCAGTTCACTTTGACTTTATTAGGCATGAAACCGTTACCTGAAACAGGAAAAAGAGAGAACAATGACACAACTACCCAATAAGAAGGTTTAACAAATGCACCTTCTGTGCTTGCATTAATTAATATATAATATCTAAGTGCTTTGGTATATTAAAGAAAGGTTTTTTTTCCATAGATAATCACAATCAGGGTTGTCTGTCATTCTTCAGATTTCAACTTCCCAACGCAGACTCACCCTCGTCGTCAGAGTCGAATCCGAAGAGGTTGGAGCACTTCTGCAGCTGGAGATGACTCTGCAGATCCTCGGCGCTGTTGAAGGTTGCGAAACAGTTGGCGCAGCGTTGCCTCTGCGGAGTCTTTGCGACGCAGGCCTGCTGAGGAGGGGGGCTTCTCTGAGATGAGTGGGAGAACGACAGCTCCTTCCTTCGTTTCGGCATGGTGATGTACTTCTCGTCCAGGTACGCTGTAGGCGGCGGACGCCTGTACGGCCTGCTGCTGTACCCCGCAAGAGCGTTCTTTAGCGCGGCCGGTTTAGTATCTTCCCTAGCGGCCTGTCCGTTCGGTATGACAGAGTAACCGGCGTTGCTGATCGTAGGTTGCGGTGTTTTTCCCTCTTCACTTACAGAGAGCAACTCTGCTTTCACCTCAGTGAGCGATTGGACGTCAGTTTGTGACTTCTCCGGCTTCTCAGACGCCGTTCGAACAATTTGATCTTTGCGTGTTTTCTTCACAATCTTTGTGTGGCCGTCTTTATGAACATTCTTGCGCTTCTTACTTGCTTCGTTGGGGTCGGAGTTTTTGTGGGATTTCTTGGATTTTTCCTTTTCTGTTACCTTCTGTGCGTTCTCTCCAGCGGGGGGAGAAGCCGTGTCATTTAAGCCGCTGGCTGTGGCAGCAGGGACGGAGGAAAGAGTTGCATCAGGAGAGCTCTCTACTGCGGCTCCAGCCTCAACCTGTTGATGCCCAGATTTTGACGTGGCTTTCTTTTTCAAAGCAGATGTTGTGCTTGCATCGTTCGGTCTTCCCTTCAGCGTTTTCTTGTCCTCTTTATTAATATCCTTGTGCTTCGTTTTTGTATTACCTGAGTCTGAAGAAGCACTGGGAGCCCTCGTTTCCTTCTTTCCTTCTGTTTTCATGAGTGACTTCTTGGATTTTTCTTGTGTTTCCTCTCCTGAGGTGGTTGGTGGTGCAGTTCTCTCATTTAAACCGTTAGCTGGGACATCAGGCACAGTTGTTGAGCCTGTGGTTTCCACTCTTGCCTCTGGTTCTCTGAGAGGGCATTTCTTCTTGACTGTCTTTGTGTTGGCTTCACCATTTGTAACCTTGTGCTTCTTTGACTTGCTGGAGTCTGAAGAAGCCGTTTGACTCTCTTTCGGAGCGGAGCGTTTCTTCACTTTATGTAGTTTCTTAGCCGCTAACTTGTGTGTTTTGTCTGCTGAGGTGGTGCTGGTTGATTGATTTAAACTGTTTGCTGTCTTAATAGCTGAAGGGGTATTATGTAAAATCCCCTTTTGTTTAACGTGAATATTCTGTTTGTTGATTGATTTCTTAGATTTTGATTTGTTAATCGACGTTTCTGTAGTTTTGCCTACACCTTTGACCTGCTCTTCTTCTTTTGACTCGTTGCTGACATCTGAGCTCTCTGCTGCTTTAGGGGGGTTTGCAAGCTCAGCACTTTTTTCTGGGACAGTTTGATTAATTGGACCGGAAGTCGTATTTTCATCATGCACGGCTTCCTTCGACTTCGGAGGACGCCCTCTTCTTTTGGGACCTTTTGTGTTTCCTTTGACCTGCTTCTTCTTGAACTTGTGCCTCACTTTGACTTTCTGTTTTAATAACGATGATGAGATGACTTTGTGACTTTTGGTTGTATTTGTTACCTTCCTTAATGTTTGCCGTAACCTCAGATTAGGGCCAGCGGGCTGTGAGGAGGTGTCCTTGTTAGAAAGATTCTTCAAGACGTGAGAATCCTTGGACTCATTTCGCTCATTCGACTCCTCTTTGGACAGAGATGCACCGACAGTGGCGGGAAGAGGAGCTTGTTTTTCTGTAGGTGAGTTATGTGTAGCTTCTCCTCTTAATAAACGAGGAGCCTTCACACTCTCGGTCGTATTTACAGTAGTGGTAGCGGTTGCATCTTTTGGCCTATGATCCAGTTGTTTCTTTCCATCCGGCGTGTTATCCTGTTTGTCACCCGTTTGTTCTTCTGCATTCTTGTCTGGTTTGGTGGGTTTGGAAGCATAGTGCTCTCTTTCATGAAGGTTCAGTGCCCAGAGACAGATAAATAGCTGAGAACAATCAGGGACGCAGCACACTGCCTGCAGCGGACTGTGCCTCCTGGCGTGGCGTCTCATTTCCATTCCAGTTTTGAACCTGGACGTGCATCCTCGATGAAGGCAAGGATGCCGAGGAGAGAGTCTGTGCCTTTCAACGTGGTGCTGAAAATGTTCAAAACTCCACATGACCCTCATGCAACTGCTGCATTTGCCGTTTCCTACATGGAATGCCACTTCTAAAGGTTCGACCTCGCCATAGTGATCTTCCAGAGCGTGGTAAAGGAGTGCAACGCGTTTTTTCGACAGGTCTGTAAACCAGCCGCAACCCTCCACAGGACAGCAAACGTTCTCTTGCGGGTCAACACGTTTCTCCTCCACAACTTTGTCACTTTGTTTGGTGGCTGTGTTCAGGACCCGTAGGGATTCTGTCTTCTCGGAACAGCTGACCGCTCTGTCCACCTGTGCTGAGGAACCCATCTCTGTATCTTGGTTTTCCTGCAACCTGGAGTGTACAGCTGCATCAGAGGTCTCCTGCTGTGTAAGTGGCGGGTTAGCTTCCGAGGTCGAGGTGTCCCTTTTCGGTCTGTCAAGCTCTTCCTCTTTCCCAATATGCCCGTTTACCTTGTGATCAGGAGTTTTAGTATGAAGGTGCTTTGATGCGTTTTGTTTCTTTTCATCCACTGGCTTGCCATTGGACCTCAACTGTCTGGACCCAGATGGGGTTGAATGTGGAAGGCTCGTTGATTTAAGACAGTCAGTAGATTTCCTCGGTCTCCCACTGCTGCGGCGCCCAGAAGACACGTTTGTGGTCTTAGCTTTGGCAGAGGTATCTTTGGTCTCTTGGACATCATTACCATCTGACTCTTTAATCCTCTTCAGCTTCTCAATATGGTCAGACAGGTGCATCATGGCCAGAAGATCATCTTTGAACATCGTCCCACAGAACATGCACTCATCCTTACGATAATGGAACATAGCATGTTCTACAACACGACTTCCCTTGAACACCTTGCTGCAGAAGGTACAACAGTAATCCAACTTGGATTCCTCCGATTCTGGGAGATCACCGTTCTCAGGCGTTTCTGGATCAAAATCCTGAGTTCCCTCCTCCTTCCCTTGCACATCAGCAACTACAGAACAGCTGGAGGTAGTTCGTAATTTGTGAGGAACTTTGGATTTACTTCCAGATGTTGGCTCCTTAGAGGTACCGTCCTCTGGAGCTGGCTGTTTGCGATTCTCCAGATCTCGAGCAAGTGCCTCAGGTGCAAGTCCAGTTACCATTTCGGTTACTAATGTCAGAGCAGATATGTCATTTATATTGTCCTGCTCTGTAGAAGTAGTGCCCATTGTTCCTCCACCCATGTCACTTTCACAAGGCACGTGTCTTTTGGGGACTTTCGGTGAAACATCTGTAACGTCCACCTCAGAGAGGCTGTTGCCGACAGCGGTGAGCACCTCTGGGCCGTCTGCTTTTGCAACAGGATCTTTGCCAGTTTCAGCCCGAGAAGAGAGTGACTTCAGTTCTTGAGACTGTGATAGCGTGGGATCAGTAGCTCCAACGCTTGAGATGTTGGCCATTATTGAGACTGGAGGGATTTTATCAAGAACTAACATCTGATTGTTGACCAGAGGTGAAGTGTGCGAGACCTCAGCTGAAGTTGTGGTTTTAAAAGCATGTTTAACAGCTTTAGAGACCTTATCTAAACCTGGGGACGGAGTCACTTTAGTCGCTGTTGAGGCAATCGTGACTTTCATCTCAACAGCAGACCCGTCACAGAGCTCTCTTGCTGAAGCTATGGTTTGAGCTTGCAGGACCTTATCTAACATTGGGGCTTCTGTAACTTCAGTTGCAGCAGCAGCAGACTTCTCAGAGGGCTCTCTTTCTGAAAATGTATTTCGTGAGACTGCTTTTGTAGTTTGAGCTTGAAGGACTTTTTCCATTGCTGGGGATTTTGTAACTTCAGCTGCTTCTGGTGTGTGACCGTCCATTCCACCTTCAATCTCAGCGGCAGGTTTGTCACAGAGCTCTCTCTCTGGATCTTTTGGAGGACTTCCTTGCACTGAGGAGCGTGTGATTGTTGAAACTGAGCCTTGAATATTGGGCCCGACACCTTTCCCTTTCGGCCGCCGAGCGTAACAGTGCAACTGTTGTGCAAACATGGCTGCATCCCGCGCTCTCAGAATCACCTCTTTGCGGTGCACGGTCTTCACAGCTTCGGACGTGGCAGGGACCTTCACTGTCGGTCTGTAGAGAAGCATTTGAGGGAAACCTCTCTGTCTGTTGCAAGCGTCCTCGTTAAACTTTCCCAACAGTTCATTGTCTGGTAGGGAGAGCTCAAGGATTACTTGAGGAAGGGTGGCTTGTTTGCGTGGGTCCAATGAAAACCCCCTCTGGTGCTTGCTGCTGTTTGCCATTAAATGAGAGTTTACTGAAGGTTTGTGTTTGAGCTCAACAGTTTCTGACCCCTTTACGACATTGGATCCATGGTGCTTTTGATGTTTCAACCCATGCTTTTTGATCTTTGGAAGAACATTATTCTCCTCGAGATTTCCTGAGTCTTCAAGAAGCCACTTGGGTTGTCTAATCCTCCGTTTTGGTGGGTTCTTCTCCGAGAGTCTTGTAGTGCGTCGAAGTTCTCCATACCCAACAGCTACATTGTCCTGTAGTCTGTCTAGCTGCCAAAATGAACGCCTCAAAGGTTCAGGCGACGATGACCGATGGCTGCCTTTCTTCTTTCCGGTGTGGTCAACGTGTAGCCGCGTTTTTCCTGGGCCCACCCTTAATCTCTTGGATGCAGCGTCAATGTCGTGACGTCTGTCTTCTTTATGGTGACGCTTTTTAGCTGCTGCCCCCTTACTTCCTTTCTGACATGCTGATGTGCTTGATCGGGAAGCAGGTTCTTTGGCGCAATAGCTCCGGATCCATTTGTCCTCCATGATCTCCTCGAGGTCACCACTAACCCCCTTCTCGCTCATCAGCTTCAAACAGTTGGTCCGCAAAGCAATGAGGTTCCAAAACTCGGGGTCAAAATACAGGTCCTTCTTCAAGACCTGAGGAGAGACAGAAAAGAAAACGTTTTGGTACCACAATATGGATTAATGACGAGCAACAATACTCGTCTTAACCGACACTTTGCCTTTTTTAATGTCACGATTTGTTGAACAGGTGCTCTACCTGCAGGGTTTCAAAGCGAACGTGATTTCTGATGGGGCTGTACTCCACGTGGTACTCCTGATCGGGATGCATGTACAGAAGGTACACCAGCTTGTAGGTCTCGACAGTGCGTTCGAAGAAGAAGATCAGAAGAGCGCACGCCCGGGCAACCTCCAAGTCATTGGGCAGCAGGCCGGCGATGGTTTTGTAGATTAGGGACTTGGTGATGACGTCGCAGGGAAGGCAAGACCCCAGGGCGTTAGCACACAGCTCCACGCAGAACTGGATACCATCTTCACCCAGCTAGTGAGATACAAACAACAGATTGAATATCAATGCATCTAAACAAATCTACACGGCAGTTGAAATCTCTCACCTCTTGCAGTATGGCTCTGATGAATGGGAAGATTGAGTTGACATTGGTCGCAGACAGCATCAGCCGATGACTCTCCTCAAGTAGAGCTTGCTTGGACGTATTCAACCGACTGTGAAGTTTACTCCATATGAAGACGAGATCCCTGCAAAGGACGGAGTTAGAAATTGCTCTCAATGCTTTTTTAAATGCGGAGACCTGAGTTGGTGTTATACACCGACTTCACATTAGCATCAGATTTAAGTTCACCTACCACAAATAGTGCATGTCTCCCCTGCACAGCTGCTGGGAGAGGAAGGCTCTGCTGAGGGCTAGTAGCAACTCATCCTTTTCCTCACACTCCAAACTACAGATGATATGAATTGCATCTTTACCATTAAATTCAGCCACCTGAAAAACAGAGGACAGCGACAGCGTTAGTTTCAGCCACAGATGGATCGCATACATAATGGTGTGGTAGCTCTTGCAATTTTTCTGAAAGACATGCAAGTCATCCGCATACAACAGCCACTCCACCCACCTCTTTGTGAAGGCGGTCGTGATGTGAGGTTTTGAAAAGCCACGTGAGGTAGACCTGGAGGAAGAACAAGTGCTGTCCTGCCGTGGGATGCCGAGCACAACACCTCGCCAGGGCCATGGCCTCGCCGACCCGCTCACAGGATAAGAGGTAGCGCACCCGGAGCTCAAAGAACACCGGCAGCTCAGAGCTGACGCACCCGTCCACTGAGGTACCGTCAAGAAGCCAGAGGAGAGAGAGGGGTATGGTTTTAGTTTGCCTTGATACTGATTTAAAGATTAGCTGGAAAGAAACAAGGATCAAACTATTTTCAAGCACTTTGGAGGAGCAATTCAGCTAGAAATTGGAGTGAAACCCTTTGAAATCAGTGGTACTACTACTGATGCATAATACCACGTCACCTACCGTCACTCTGAGGTAAACTGGACTCACTGAGGATTGCCTGTAAGGCTGGGCCGGCCCAAGGCCCACCACCCCGGACCAAATGCTCCACTTGAAGCAAGTGAACATTCTGATGCCTCGCGAGCGCCGAGTGACATTCCTGAAAGAGCATGCGGAGAAATGGCTTCAAAAAGTGCTGGTATATTAATGAATATATTAAGAGAACCGTCACCTTGTCTTACTATAAAGTTCTGAATGGTTCTGCACATCATGCTCACCTGGAATGTAACAGAGAAGTGATTCAGTGGCTCCTGGTGGAAGTCCTTCTGGTCAAAGAACAGCAGCAACTCAAAAACGCTCCTGTGAGGAAATCAAAATAGTTTGGCTTGTATCTACAAATCCACATCGAAAAAAAACAACCAGTTCCACACAAAGAATTGCATTTCTGCGAGTTTAATATTAATTAATATTGAGTCGGCTTAGAGAGGCAGAGGAATGCACTTAATTGGAAAGCAGAGGGAAACCCTCGGGGAGACGTGATGGAGTATTCATGGACAGAGTAAGAGTCAACAGCTGGCAGCATGCCAGGGGTTTTTCCTGGCTCATAAATTTAGTTGCTCGAGCCAAGGAATACAATCAACTTTCAATCCCAAAAACGTCCCCAAATATACATTAGAAATGTTTGACAGATATATAAAAACAAAGGTTACACATACTGTATATGTGAATATTCTTATTGTTTTGTGTTTATAATGGATTTGAATGTTTTTTCTTCACGCTGATTATTTCCAAGCATGTTTGTTTTATAAAAACAAGTGTATTATAAATGTCTTATCAACATCCAATGTGTTTTTACAGGGGGTATGTACTGTCTGATGTGTTATGTGTGCTTCTCTGAGGGCACATTGTGCAAGGCCACTTCCCCAAGAGGCAATAAAAGGTTTCATTCATTCACAATTAAACTGATGTGAAACTTGGACAGCGGAGCAAAACTGAACAAAGCAGGAACAAGAACACAACCGTACACAATACTTCCAGTCTACTTTCTTTCTTAAGGGAATCTTGAAGTGAGATGCTTTGGCGTAAATTCAAGAAGTCATTTTGTTCAGGAACAATAATTAAAAAGACATTTTAACAATGCCTCTGTACTTACAAGGCCAGACTACTAAGTGTGTGGAGCACATGATCACAGTTTGATGTGAAGAAGGTGGAAGCTCGAGCGAAGTAGCGGAGAGCTAACTCAAGGATCCTGAGCTGAGGCAGCGGCACCTGCCAGCGAGTGGCGTACTCCTCCACCAGCTGCACAAAGAAAAGACAAAACAAAGACAAGAATACGAGGACAATCACCAGCCTGTAATATTTAGCATGTTTAAGTCTGCGCTGATATTAGATGTTTTAACTGCAGTTGTAGGTACTTTAGCCTAGCATTTACGCCGTGTTATCAATAGCAAACAATTGGCGTTGCAATGATTGGTCAAAGTTTCAAGCAAAAATGCCAAAAGATTCTGCTTTCAGCCTTTAAAATATTAAGACTCCCTGCTTTTCTCAGTTTTAGAACATTGTCAATCTAATATATTGGGGATTTGGACCGTTGTTTTCAAAGCATGAAGCCCTACAACCCCTTAAACACAGTTTTGACTACAGTCTGCAACTACAATAGGACAGTTGTTGCTCCTTTATATAATATTTAAGATTGATCTGTCAAATCCCTAAAACACAATATGCTTATATTGCCCTCTAATGGTGGAGATCCAAGGCATCACTCTTGAGCACCACTGGAAACCTTTTAGCAAATCAACAATTTAGCACTCAGGTTTTTGTCTAATCTGTAAAACTACTAAATGAAACTGTAGTAAATTATGAAGCATTGCATTTTTAGTTTATTTTATATTTAAAAACCAGAGCTGATGAATTCACCTTCATGAGTATCCAAACTATGTTTTCATACAGAGCTAGATCTCGAATTTAATGTTTGAATAGCATGCCATTAGCTCAGTAGCAAAATATGAATTTGGATTTGTCAACAGGAATCTTGAGACTTGATTATTTTCCACTGTTTGTCTATTTCAAATCCCTTCAGTGACAGTATGTACAAGATGTACCAACAAAGCCAGACAACTGACATTTAAATGCACTTTTCCATGAGATGCACTGACTTGTTCGCAGCATTGTGACAACTGCAGGGTGTGAGGACATCTTGTGACACCAGGAATTATGTTACAATCATGTTGACGTTACATCGTACAGTTGCATGGTTATTTAATTAAGAGAGATTGGGCTTTATTTCAAAATAGTTGATAATAATGCACGCCATTAATTGCATGACAACCTTAAGTGAGAGGTTAGCTAACATCAGCTAAATCCCAGAAAAGATTACCAAACGTGTTACAGACGTGCGTAAAAGTTGTCCAGTCAATAGTTTGGTAAACACTCGGCGTACTAAGCTAAACTTGCAGGAAAATTCTGGGCTAGCTGGGTTAGCATATTTAGCTTGCTAGCTGTGCAGTGAACGATCAGTCATATTGTGAAAGATTTACTGACTGGCTTCGATAACGTGTAACCTGAATCTACGGCTAGGTAGTCACAAACATATATATGTTAGATGGCGTTACCGCATACATTTGTTTTTAAAGCGACTACGACTCGTTAGCTAGATGCTAGAAGCCAATGCTAACGACTCGTTAGCTAGTTGCTAGAAGCTAATGCTAGACTAGTTAGCTAGATGCTAAGAGCTAACGCTAGACTCGTTAGCTAAATGCCAGAAACTAATGCTAGGCTCGTTAGCTAGACGCTAAATACTAGCCGTGTAGCGGCCAGTCGGCTAACATATCCTAGCTCTCATCTTCGACAACAAGCCTGTCACCAACTTCGGCTCCGGCTCCTTACCTCGCAAAAGTCAGAGCAGAACGGTTTACTATCGGCTCGTATGTCATCACTTGAGTAACTGCTCGACAAACTGTCCAACTGTTTTTCGAGCCCCTCTAACTCGTACACACTGCCCTCCTCCGCCATACTGCCCGTCTAGCCTGGCTCGTAGCAGCCACCACACAACACACATACATCGCAGCGGCATTGGCAGCGCTGATTGGCTACTGCCAACCTAAAGGGACTTGCTCCTTTACTAGTCCAGCGGGCACCGGAGAGGAGCTCGTTAGGGGCGGAGTGTGAACTCCGTAATTAAAATAGACGGCCTCAAATTAAGCCCCGCCAACGCGGTACTAAGAGGTGACTATTACATGCGCCACAAACCACATGGCAGACACAAACACTGCGCGTTAATGACTGTTAATATTAGCGTTCACGTCCCGTCGTATAAACTTTCATAAAATTCATAAACTTGGCCGTTAGAGCCATTCTGCTGTCAAAAAACTTAAAGTGCATATACATCTGAATTAATTAACACAACTATCATTACTTTTAAAAGTTATTTAAATCATATTTAACAATTATATTATCAAATATATAAATGCAACACAATTCAGTAAGTCCCTTTATATATTTGCGCAATTTATAACAAACAATAATTGTCTGAAAGCAGTCAAATAATTCCTTTAAGCTTTATTTAATCATACACATTCATTGAGGAAAAATTATGCAATACAAAACGTTTCAGACACAGTTTAGATTAAATAGTCAAGGCAACATCACAGTTAAGTCAAGGTGTTGTGGAAAAAGGAAAAGGTAAGAATGCCACATAATTTTAAATAAATCAGATTACCATCCCCATGCGTTACTGTTTTTGTGTTTGCACAACACAAATGAAAAGGCAACACATTATGAGCAGCACTGGAAAGATAATGTGCATATGTACAGCTATCTACTATTCTTTGTAAATGAAATGAATGTGGATTTTATACTATCCTGTCATATATCTGAAGTTTGATGGACACAAAAGGTCACAGCGAAACCATCTTGTAGTGTTCAGACGAATAAATCAGATACACAGATGCCTAGAAAACAAAAAACTTTCTACAAGTTACAAACTTCAAAAGATTTGTTTTGAGCACTACAACCAAGTAATAATGAACTGTTTCAAATAATAAGTAACCCTATAACAAGTTGACATAGTGGTAAAGACATATTTTGCATAAGAGCATAAGACTCCAGTTCAAATGTATTTTTTTATTTTTTATTTTTTTAAATGGCAACCTCAATCAAAAACATTCACAAGATTATTTGCCATGTTGAAAAGACATCTACCAAACTGTTTATTGCGTTTGTTTTGTAAGCGTGAGAAATGTACAAGTGGTTTGGATCAGTTCAGTTCAGCTCGTCGGTGGACTCCGACATGGATCGCTCTCTCCTTTCCCGGCCCGTGACAAAGTTGAGCAGGTCAACGGCCGTCACCACCCCGAAAACCATCTGCTTCAGACACGGAGAGCCGTCCGTCATGTCTGGTGAAAGAACAGCATGGAGGAGAGCGGGATGAAGATGAGGAGAAAGATGGCAAGACTGTGCACTGATGTTCTGCTACAGTGTGTTTTTCCACACTACCACTGGGGGGAGCCAAAGCTAAACATTTTGCATTTAGTTTTATCAGATTTTGGGGCTCAAGACAGAAGCGCAGAGCTCGGGGAAATGAGGGCATTTGAATGAAGGAAGTGTGTGTATATGACTGTGAAAATGTACTTACATTGGATCTGTTCATGTACCACCAGGGCAAAGTGGTCAGTCTCCAGAATGCGGGATAACTTTCCCAAATTATCATTCAGACGGATCTAAGAAAAAAAGCAACGACTTAACGAGGACAATAAATAAAACGAACAATAATTTGTGATCAAGTGGCATGTAATGTACCGGCTCAGTAAGAAATGTGCCAACAATTTATTTCTGGTACCTTTACTGATGGGAAAATTGTTCTGTTTTTTCCACAAAGTCAAAAACAGTTCCCTCCCGCAACCACGTTTTTTAAAAAATTACAGTTGCTTGGCGGAATTAAATTATAGCAATGTGGTTTCACGATCTGTTTTGGATCAACTCCAGTCAAAACATCACAACTGGACTTTGTCATTTTTCACACCCTGACTTGATAAAAACCCGTTAAAGCAGTTCCACTCCCCTAAACTGGTTTGTCTCATTGGCTGCTGCTGTCAGCCAATCAGAATGAAGAATTTAGTCTTCGATTTCAGCCTTTACGTCATTTAGGAAACATCCCAAGAGCATCACGAACAGAGATGTTTCAGTTAGTGTCTGACCTGTTTGAACTGCTTGTAGAGCACTTTGCTGACGGGGTCGGACACCTTGATCTTCCCTGCTAGAATACAAGCCAACATGTTCCCCAAAGTCACCATGCCCAGGATTACCCTGTACACACACACAAACAAGGTCAAGTTAAAGCCTTTGCAGAGCACAACAAGGCGCTGCAATAAAACACAAAGGTCCAGACATGCAGAATTTCTGCATGACTCTCACCCAGCCTCGTCCACCACGGGCGCCTGGTCGAAGCTGTTCTCCTTCAGGATTTTGATGGTCCTCTGACATGTGACGGTAGGCAGCACGGTGAGCGGGGCGGACAGGTTCAAACTCTGCAGCTTCAGGTTCCACCACCTGACGAACAGAGAGAAATGAGAGGGTCTTAAAGCGACACAGCATGGAGGAGGTTTGCACAAGAGGAGAATACAGCCTGTAATATCACACACACACCATGGTTTTTTCACCATGAGGTCCTCCTCACTCAGGAAGCCCTTCTGGATCATCCACTTGTCACTCAGGAACTTGGACCTACAGGGGAAAAATATAAGGATATAAGTGCAGTCTGCTCCCCAGATGTTGGTGCTGCTTTAACCATGAATGTTAGTGTAATTATTGTAAATATTCCAGTAAAAGCCATATTTAAACCTGAGGATCACTATTCAGAGTATTTGACATTACAGAAATAGACTGTGTGGTGGTTTAACAAGTGGGGATTCTCACATGTAGTTGCGGACGGAGTCTGGCAGGATGACCACACAGCGCTGGCCCTCCTTCAGCTCTTTGGCGACGTGCACTGCAGCTGCCATGGCTGTCCCAGAGCTGCCACCTGTGCCAGAAAAAGAGCCAAAAGGTGAGCTGACCTCGATGACCTCGCCGGCTCGTCTGGCATTTGTGTTGGCGGGAACCTGAGCGACCTACCGCACAGCAGGCCCTCCTCTCTCATCAGCATGCGAGACATGTTGAAGGACTCGTCGTCGTCTGACTTGTACCAGGTGTCAACTACCTGAAGAAAAAAAAAAATAAATATTACATTGTGACATAAGAAAAAGGGAGGTAAGAAAATAAAAAAAGAAGCTCCTGGAACTCACGGATCTGTCGAGCACGGTGGGGATGAAGTCGTACCCGATGCCCTCCACCTCGTACTGGGTCTTATCGGTCTTGTTCAGCTCGTCTGGCTCCGCCAGGATGGAGCCTGCTGGGTCAACACCAACAATCTGCAGACAGCACACAAACCACTCGTAAACAACGAGCAGCTCAACAGACGGTCAGCAATATGATGTTAGAAACCGGTGAGTATTTAACTTCTGGACAGACACAACTTACTTTGATGTTGGGGCATCTTTCTTTAAGTTTGCGGGCGATACCTGTGATCGTCCCCCCTGTTCCTGCTCCTGCCACCAGCATGTCCAGTTTACCTTTAAGGAGGGGGAGGAGTTAAGAGACACTTCAGGTTTATGTTGCTGATTAAAATATACTTACACAGAGGCAACAAACTGTAAATTTGTATTCTTGAGAAGAAATATAAAAGATATCAACAATCTTCAAGATTTTATGATGACGACAGTGTGGTGGGGTAAAAGCTGCTCGTACCGTCACACTGCTCCAGGATCTCCTCAGCTGTGGTGTCGTAGTGGGCCAGAGGATTGCTCGGGTTACGGTACTGGTCCAGGATGTGAGAGTTGGGGATTTCGTTTTTAAGGCGCCACGCGACGCCGACGTGAGACTCCGGTGAATCGAAGCGAGCGCTGGTGGGTGTGCGGACGATCTCGGCTCCAAGTGCCCTCAAGACACCCACCTGTAGAGAAAAATAAACGGAAAAATCTGAGCAAATAAGACATGAACTGAATAGTTTGTTAATTTTGTGTATCGTAAGGATCATCTGCCAAAGCACTTCTATTAGCCCTACATTACAATTCAGCTACCCCAATTTAGATATCAAGGTTTCAAAGCATCTCTGCAGCTTTGTCAGTCCATGAGCTGAAAACAAAAAGACGCAATGTCGCAAAAATGACAAAAGCCACAAGTGACATTTGCACCTTTTTTTTTTTTTTTTTTGGAATCACCTTTAACCAGAATTTGGGGACTCGAAAACACCCATGTAGAAAATCATAGGTTGCTTACTGTTATTCACCTGAATACACTCAATATCAATCAATCAAATTATACGTGTTCAGGGCATCACCAGTCTGCATTTAGCAGAAGTAGTGAGGACTTGGTTGACTATAAAAGAATGCAAGAGTAATAGTTTCAATATGACTGAGAACTCACCTTCTCCATGCTCATTTTCTCAGGCATGACAATGATGCAGCGGTAGCCTTTTACAGCTGCAGCCAGGGCCAATCCAATACCTAAAACACACACACACAGACATTTTACAAAACTGCTGCTTTCAACTAAATAACATACCACTTGTACCTTTAAATAACTCCCCCCCCCCAGAACAACACGTGCAGATAATTACCAGTGTTTCCAGAGGTGGGCTCTATAATAGTGTCTCCAGGCTTGAGGAGGCCGGCTGCCTCGGCGTCCTCCACCATCCGCAGGCTGATCCTGTCCTTGACACTCCCACCTGCATTGAAGTACTCGCACTTGGCCACTACAAAACACACACAACGGAAAGTTTTATCATCAGACTAAATGATGCATTCCACCCTGAAGCTCATTCCGTTAGATTTAAAAGTTCTCACCCCACCACTTGCGTGTTTGCTTAGTGCCAATGAGCAAACAACGGTCACACCTACTGTCTGATGGGATTGATGGGCTTGACTCACATAATTCGCATTTGAGTCCAAACACTTTGGGGATCTTGTTGATGCGGACCAGGGGAGTGTCACCGATCCTGTGCAGGATGTTTGGTAGAATGGTTGGAGCGACGACTCTGGGAGGAGAAAGCGGAAGAAGAAATACATTTAGAGACACTGCAAAGACAATCACACTAATAACCTCACTCAACTGGTTTTCATTCTGGTGCCACAATTTTGAGACAACAAGACCTGCTCACACTCATTTCTGGTCTGAGGAGTTGGTTTGAGCCACTCCCCGGGTGGGGTTGGAGAAGCTGAATGTCACTGGTTCAAACAAAGCATTGCAAAATACCGCTAACATTTTAAGTGCACATTCAAACCACCAACCTTGGGACTTGTGTGTGAGGGGACTCGGCTTTTGAGGCTCCCAGGCTCCACGTGCAGCGGCTGGGGAGGTCGGGCCGGATCCATTTCCTCTCAGCGGGGACGTTGTTTATGTCGACGCCGTTCAGTGGGAACAAATCCTCCCGGAGTTTGCCCTCCCCGTTGGTGTGGGTGAGCAGCTTGGTGGCGTGAGGGCACACGGTGGTCTCTTTGGTTGAGGGGACAGACGGCATGGCTTACCCTTGACAAAGCAGAGGACATAGGTTTATGTAATCATTTTTTATGTACATACGACGGGTTCGACTGGTTCGAGGCTCATATTTCATTCTCACCACATCGATATGGTACCACATGTCGGCAGCACCCAGTGGAAAGCTAACACCGAACCACTCCCTTCTTCCATTAATGCTGAGTCATACTAGCACCAATAAATACAGCTTCATCATGCTTAACCAGGCGCTTTGGGCAGCTTCCCCCACACCCTTTGCTCTCCCACACAGTAAGAAGTCAAGTAGATTCTGCTTTAATCACCGAAATCTAAAAAAAAAAACAGAACTGAAAGTAGTTGAAAGTCCCAGAAAATTTTCTGATCAAGCTTCTGCCAATATTGCATCATTCATTATTAGGAGCTAAAAGCTCATACTGCTCATGTCAAATGTGCAGACGTGTATTTATCTACCTCTCATTATCTTTGTGCTTGTGAATGAAAACATAAACTGACTCAATCGTCCGTCATTACCGGTTGTAAAGTGTTGTAAAAGTCACAAATGTGTGACTAAATGTTAAACATAATCGCAAACGGGAGTTCATTCTGAGTGCACTGAAGTGGAAAAGCTGTCATTTGACGGGACATAAAACTGCAACTATTATCGTAGTTTATTAACAGTTTAAATCATTTATCAAGCAAAAAAGGCAAACAAATTCCCAGGTCCAGCTTCTAAATTGTGTGGATCTGTAGTTGTTTTTCACTTTGAGCTTCATAAAAGGTTTCTTTTTACTTTTTATCTGGCATTTTACTGACCAGTTGGTTAATTGACAAGATAATCTGCAGGTTAAACCGATAACAAATCAGATCTTTAAGCGCCGACACAGTTTGACATCGATGTTTTCTTTACTTAGTAATAACTAATGAGTGCATTGGGTTTCTCTGTGCGGCAGAAAAGCGCAGCAGATGAACCTTCACTAATACACAGTGCACACAGCGAGGCCAGATGCTTAAACCCCTCTTTGCCTAAAGTCATCACACAGAGCTCTGCGTGGAAGAGAAAACTGCCCTGAGACATGCTGCTTTAGGGTTAGTGAAGCACATTAAAATGCAATGTTATACTTTAACTCCTGTTTAATATAAAAAAGACACTGAAACCAACACACGTGTTGTTTCCTATCTTGAGATCAGACCTCTGCAGCCACTAGACGTGTCACGTTAAGGTGGTAAATGCAGGAAAGAGTAGGTGGTATCTGGTGACCACAGGGTTCAGGGGGGGCAATGTGATCCTCCAGTGACAGCACATGCGGCACTGAGCCCAGGCTGCATGGCAGAAAAGACTTGCAGACGGTTTAACAAGGATAAAGTTGATTCTTGTTCAAGAATCTAATCCTCAAATTCCAACCAGGCTGAAGAAATACAGTACTGGAATCACCTGATGTGAGACTGGCAACATTATGTAACATTCTCCCCTCATCAGATCCGCTCATCTGCTTATGTTGGAGCGTTTCTAATCTCCTCTGGTATGTTCAGAGCTCTTACAGCACAATGAAAACGGCAGCAGTAGATTTTTAGGCAATTAAAATAAATGGTCAGACCACTGCTCTGCCAGCAGCAATCTATCAGCTTGGTCAATGGCACAGGAAGAGCAGTCTATAGATATTCACTCAGCCATAGCAAATGGGAGGACAAAATGTCAGCAGCAGGAATGCTGGCAGTAAAAAACACGATGTAAAACAGCAGGAAACACACACCTGGAAACCCACGAGCATATGGTCAGGAGCTCACGTGCAAGAAACCAGGTGTAATCTTACTGTGATTAAAAGCTGTCAGATAGAGGACGAAGTGTGAACACTGATTAGGATGCTATAATAAAGCGGAAACGATTAGTCGATCAAAAGAAGAAATAATCAGTCTACTTTCTTTTCTTGTTCTTATAATATAATACTTTTTTCCTAATGTTAAATAATCCTGTCGTACAGTAATTGTGCAAAATGCCAATAATTCACTGGTTCCAGCTGATAAAATGTAAATATGTTGCTGCTCTTTTGTCGTTTTTTGCATTAATAAACAACATTTATTTGGAATTTGAACTGCTGATCAGACAAAATAAGAGTTTTCAATTGAATTCGTCACTGTTGTAAAGCAAAGGATTCATCGCTTTATCGATCAACATAAAGGTCATATTAACAGTCTGCTGCAGCCATGTGTTATAACCGCGCTACAGCCATAACATCCGGTAGTAATCTAACAGGAAAAGTGGATGTCAGAATAAAAGGCAGCTGAATTAAAAAGCAGAAAATAGGCAAAACCAAAATATCTGACAAAAAAAGATGGTTCCTGCGCAGCGCCGATGTTGCATCATACTCTCAGGCTCTCAGCCACCAAGCATCACAGTGATTTGATTTATCAATTACATATTTCTTTCAGCATTCATCTCACCTATTTGCTAATTCCCACTCACCTTATGATTTAATAACTCCTGTAAAAGAAATACCAATCCGGTGTGCACGCGCAGCCAGTACAACAATGCGGAGCCTCCCGACAAAGACACACGTGGATCCAACGAAGGGGGAGGTGCTCAAAGTTTTACGCCCGTCTCTGATTGGCTGCAGCGAGAGCGGCGTTTGGTCTGCTCCACCAATCAGAGAAAAGATTTAGCTATAAGGGTTTTGGGGAAACGCCCCTAAAGTCAGCAGCGCCTATTTTACCTTTTATTGACTGCGTGTACTTTTGACGCATGTGACATCTTCAGCACTTCTCATGTGTTGGTGCCAAAATATTAACTGTATATACACACATATATAATGTAAATGTTATTTTTGGCAAAGTTCGCGAATTTATACCAGTTTTGGTAAACTTTATTCAGATTACATTATTTGATAGTGTATGTGAAACAATTCTTGTATAATGAGAAAGTTATTTTTCCATATTTTTCAGTGCAATTTGTAAATTTAAGACGACAAAATAAAATTCACCAAATAACCCAATTAGTTATAACTTTCTTAAACGAGTAAACATTTGTAAATTTAACCGACTAATAGACTCTGAACAGGTAGTAGGGGAAAAGGCATGGAGGATTGGCTTTAGCTAATATTGCATCATTCACAGTGTAATAAAGCAAAACAAGTTGCCATGTAAGCGTTGAAACTGTTTATGCAAATGTAAATGACTGATCTGCCGTTACCAGTTTGAAAACTATCCAAAGTTTAAGAGTAATAAGAGCGAGAGGTGACGATTGACGATATGAAAAATAACTGGTAATCATTTTAGCAGCAAATGACCATCATCATCAGTATGATAAAGAACTTTTTAATATAAATGTCTTTCCAATGTTGCATGCAGTTTACCAATCATCAGCCCCGTCCTGATATAAAAGGTCTCTCCATAAGAAATAACCCCGTGTTCATATAAACAAGCGGTGCCGGTGCAGAGTTACAAATCTGTTTTATTGAGAAAGTGACACAAGCTTGTCTTAAAAAAAGGGAATAAAAGAAAAACACTTCCAACGATTCACCGATAAAGAAAATAACTTTGTCATCACTGCTGGGGTCAGGATGGGAGGGGGTGTGTGTGGTAGGACATCAGGTCGGCCGTGGCTTCTTTCAGAACCTTCCAGAGCGCTCTCGGTCCCTCGAACGTCTCGGCCTCTCGCGCTCCCGCCGCCGGTCCCTCGAGCGGGAGCGTCTTTCCCGGGAGGGCGATCCCGAGCGGTTCCTGGTGGGAGAGAGGAAAAGATATGAAGTGACACAACCGAATTGATCCAATATGAACGTTAAGCATTCGGATATTTCTGTACCCTTTCTTGCGGCGGCCGTACAACTCCCTTCGAAGTTCCCGCGATATTGGTTTCAGGTGCATGAAGTTGCAGAAGCCCCCCCGGGTACACTCTCTGTGGGAAGACAGGGTAGGGTTAAACCTGCTAAGCTTGCATATGGTGAAGCATTGCCAAGAGGAAAAGTTGGCTCCCCCCCCACACGAGTTGAGTTTGTGTTATCACTTGCAGCGCAAACAACCCACTGATCCAATGGAAAAACACTGAAGGACTCATAAAGGAAGAGAACGTTTCCTCCCACTGTGCAAGGACAAAGTTTATCTTTGCATTTAACAGAAAATGTGATGATTCGCACAGTGGCCATGCAGCTGTCATGTTGTCAGTGCTCTGCTGAAGGGCACGCGCCGTCTTCAGGCCCTGATCATGTCAGCTGATATCCCAAACAAGCATACGTGGACAGCAGCAGCACTCTTAATAAAATCACATTCATTGTATTAAAAAGGACTTTACATCAGAGGACATATCAGTGTTGACCAGGTGTCACTCACCCCATTTCATACTGGCGGCAGCACGCTTCCCTGAAGTCAGTGACGGGGGAGAGCTCCGAGTGGACGGCTTGGGCGTTGAACCAGCGATTATTCAGGTCCGTGACGGCTTTCTCTGCATCCTCCTCACGTCGAAACTACACACAGAGAGCACGCGGGGTTAAGATCACCGACGTATAAAGTCATGATAGAAGATTTGTGACATTTTGAAATCACACCATTCCACCTCTCCCTCGCGGATACATTTAGACCGATTACCAACCTTAACGTAGACGTTGCCGACAAGGTGGTCGCCCAAGTTGTCGCACACGTTCATCTCCTCCACCTCGCCGTACTTCTCCTCCATCTCCGTGAACACCTCCTGTATCGGGAATAAAAACAAACGCAGAAAAGTGAACAACAGGCTCTCGTTGCTGAGTTTTAATTGTACAGTAACAACACCACAGGGAAGTTACAGAATGATATAAAAACATAATAAACTGAAGGTAATCTCTCATGTGTAAGTGCAGCTGTTGCATATCCCTCCTGTGTAAATATTAACTCTTGCTTCGGGACAAACTGAACACATTTTGGCAATCCTTTGAGCCGCAATGTGTTGCAGAAAGGCAGATAACCGCCGGTTCCCCCGTCACAACGCGCTACACGTGGAATGAAGGCGAGACGGCGGCACAAAAGGTCACTGACCTCAAAGAACTCGTCGTAGTGCTCCTGCATTTCCACATCGCTGACGGCGCCTACAAAACAAGGGACAGTCAGGGCGATGCCAGATGGGACACTGGTGGTAAAAGCAAACACATCTGAACTGTGGCAACATAAACATGAAACGTCTCGCTATGATAGTCACACCCTGTAAACACTGAAAAGGTGACGAGTCTGTATGTTGTATGTTACTCTCTCCCAACTTATTTCACAGAAGCAAATGAAAAACTAGAGCTGACCATGTTTTGTTTTTCCTCCTGGTTAGTTTTACTTTGAAATGATCTGTTTGTGTAACTATGTGTACATCATGTGCATGGGGGGCCATGACGTAATACCACAGAACGTATCTGGACTATTCCCCTGCTTCATGACAACACTTGGCTGTAACATGGAGGAGATTTTCCTACGTCGAAGGACAGCACTAGTAGAAACCTGCTTCAATGAATCAGGTGTGTACTCGGTGTGAAACTGTTACGTGTGAAGCAAAGAACACAGAAACAGTAAGTTCATTATGCCTTTTGAGGTCTAACACATCAGCAAAATGAAGGACCTGACACCAAAACACACTAAGTTAGATTGAAACGTGCAGAAGAGCACGTGGCCTGGTGTTCAGGCCTCTCTAGAGGATATGTTCCTACGCTAAGCCAGATTTATGTGGGGAGGTGTGATACAGTAAGTTAAGTGCTGGAGGGTCCTGCAGATGAAGGGAGAACTTACAGTGTAAACCATCAGCAGACTGGGCAGAGTTTTGAAGGTTATGAAGGTAAATGTTCAAGAGGGAAATGGTCTGAAATACAAAACGTAAACTTCTGTGACATAAATCAACCAAAATAAAGAGCTGAGGAGGAAAAATGTTTGATTAGAATTGCGTCCCTGCGGTATTAGGTGTCGTCAGTTCCGGGTCTTAATTATGTGATGGATGAGAATCTCAGAAATGGCCACTCTGTTGTTATTATTGTTGTTGGAAGAGAAGCTTATTTCCCCTCACTGGTTAAGATTTTAAGATATTTGCTCCTTTCCCTCTACTTCTAGCATTTGCTTTCTTTTAAATTCTTTATAATATTACAGATAGTTGGATGAAAATGAGCTTTACATGTGTATTCTTGGCTCATGTTAGAGGCTAAGGCACACACACATTAATTTAGTGAAGCATGAATATGCTGAGCTCCAATAAGACGGTCAAAGAATTGAAACCAAACACATAGCGAGGTTATATGTTTGTATACAAGCTGAAACGGCCCACTTTTGTCTTGCTTCTTATCGTGTTTTTTTAATTAATGCATTAGAAGAAACCGCAAACTTTATTTATGATTTCATACGCATATCATTTACTGCTCCAACGCAAACTGTAAGTTACTCTTAGACAATAACGGAGCACATTTACCAGCTGATAAATGAGTCTTTACGAGTTGTCCGTCTGTATAATTAGGCACTGAATGGAAGAGAATGGCCTCAAGCGGTATCCTAAAAAAATTTGTTACACGCACGCAACCACATCGGCATGCAACGTTCAAGATATGAAAGCAAAAAAATACTAAAGAATAAAACGTCCACAGGTACCGGTTATATTTAAACCAAGAGGTCATTTTAAATCACGCCTCTTGTAAGGGTGCTGATAAAGGACATTTCACCGGTCGTATGCGACGCTGAAGTTACGGATGTCTCGTGTTTTAATGGCAGACTGAATGCTTTAAAAATTCACTGGATGTGTAATTCACGTATGGGGCACCGGAGGAAAACACACACAGGTCAGTTACACTTACCTGTATGAGAGGCACTGCTTCAGCTCTATGAGACCGGCCTTAACATGTTTACTGCACACACGGCTCTAAACATTTCATTATAACCAGCACAGCAAATCTGTAACTTACAGCGCGAAGCGTCGGCTGTCTGTGCACTGTTCTGTGGATTACGGTAGATGTTCTGAATCAAGATGGTCTGCAGGAGAAAGAGCAAAGAAGCATGTGATCAGACTCCTTTGATTGCTTGTTCAGTTTTGTGCTATTTCTGATCTTTTGATGGATATGCAGGCACAACATCCTGAGGAGAAAGCGGCGATGGTGTCTGGGTTCGTCCATGCGCTACACGAACGCAGCCTATTTAACGTTAACAGCGGTATGTCACAGTGTTCTCGGAGAAGCACTTTGATGGGATCCTCACCTGGCTGAAGGTCGGTTTGTTGTGCAATCTCGAGCAGCGGTCTCCATGTCTGCATGCGCCGATTTTAAAATAAAAGGAGCAGTTGACCCTGGAAAAGAAAAGAAAACAGAAAAATTTATTATTTATACATTTGTTACCTACCTAAGTAAAATAAGATAATCCTTTATTAGTGGGGAAATATACAGGATTACAGCAGCATAGTGTACATACATACACATATATATATATATATATATATATATATATATATATATATATATATACACACACATATATATACACACATATATATACATATATATATATATATATATATATACACACATATATATACATATATATATATATATATAGTGCAAACAGGAGGCATAGTAAAAACAAGATCAAAATAAGTATTATAAATAAGTAAATAAGTAATAAAACAGGAAAGAATAGTAAATAAGTAAAAAAGTAAAAAATCCATAATAACTAAAATATTATATATACAGACAGAATAGTTGTTACACACACACACATATATATATATATATATATATATGTGTGTGTATATATAGTGTAAACAAGAGACAAACAATATCAAAACAAGAATTATAAATAAGTAATAATAATAAAACAGTAATAATAATAATAAAGCAGTAAAGAATATTAAATATAAAAATAAGTAAATAAGTGAAAAATCCACAATAACTAAAATATTATATCTACAGACATAATAATTGTACATAATTGTAATAATAATACAGTGTATTTATGTCAGTGTTGAGTATTATAACTAGACAATATCAACTAGTAGTTAATCTACATCAATACTGTATTAAATATGAGATCACACTGATGCACTAATAACGTGACTCTGCACACAGAGCTGCAGGTTATCTGAGGTTCCTTCCTGACTTTCATTCAATGTGTTAGCTCGGAGTTAGCTTCCTGTAGCTACTGTTAGCTTGTCTGCAGCGTTCTGCAGCGCTGTGGCTACACACTGAGCCCAGCGGGCGAAGAAGAAGCACCGCTGCACGCATAGTTGTGATAACATGCATCGTTTAGGCGACCACTGTAATACATATTAAATAAAACTTACTTGTCTTTCTCTGTGCCGAAAATGGATGCCAGATACTCCGCCATTTTCGGCTCGCTGGAAACGTAGGGACCGACGTCATTACGTAAAAAGTAGTGCGATTGCGCAATACGATACCATCCGATAACTTGCACTGCCACTGAATGCCACACGATGGCGCCATTGTTCCAGAAAATATATAGTCAATTACAATGATTTTATTATTATCTCAAATAACCCTCCTTGTCTCATTGCGCGAATCGCAACAACAAGATCATTTACCAAGTTCATCAAGTACTATCATATGCATCAGGGGTATCAATGCATCAGTGATACCCCAAAAGTATATATGGAATATATAATACTATAACACCCTATTTGAAGTGAGGTATTGTTATTTTTTACTTGGGTAAAGGATCTGAATACGTGTGTACTTTTATTCCACTAAAATTATCTGATAAAGCAAGGTTTTATATGAAAAAATAGTAAGCAACTATAATAAGCTCATCATAAACTCATATAATGCATTGTTAGGGCCACTTACAATATGACAACTTGTTAAAGGTGGGCGTCAATGCTTTTACTGCTACTCTAAAATGGGTAAAAATTTAAATACAGCGCTTTAATTTAAGTATTTATCTAGATTTTGTTACGCTCATTTTCTCCAGAGACTTACATAAGGCAGATTAAAAGAAATATGGATCGTACATATCCCATAATACAGCTCTATCATATCTATTTAACCCTGACACCATCAGGGTTAATTTCCATGTATGGAGCCACAGAAGACTTTCAACATCCAGCTAAATAAAGTCTGTGACAAATAAACTGAACTTCATGTGTAAAAGTGGTGTAGTCATCTTAAACCTGAATGAGGCTGACTCATTGACAGATAAGCAGTCCACGGGCTGATGGTGTTGCCCGACAGCAACCACACACGCACACACTTCAACAGATTAGGTAATTAAAGAGGCCCCAGCGTCCCCATCTCCCCTTTACGGCGCTGTGCATCCTCCTCTGAAACCACACTGCTGTGCGCAAGGCCGCACACGTTTGCAGGAGACGCAGATGGTGAAGATGAAAGGACGGGAGAGGGTGGAGGAAGTCAGCTTAACTTAAAGAGGGTGAACCACAGACATTAACAAGAAGTGATAAAGTCGCTCGGAAAGTGAGAGAGACAGATCTTCGCTATATAGCTGTATCGTAGCGAGGTGAGCGCCTGAGAACTGTGGGATCCCTCTAATCTGAGATGTTTTACTGCATCAGAGCTGCAACATTTAGAGAAGCAAGCCCACCCACGGAGCTTCTCTCCCCTCCAGTGCACTCACCGCCCCTGCTTTAAAGGGGAAAGAGGCAGAGGTAGGAAGGGAGCCAGCAGAGAGTATAGAAAGAGGAAGCGGCGTGCATCTAACTGGCTTCAACATCAGCTTCAGCACTTCTCTGTTTTGTTAACCAAATAATGATGTGCTCGGAGGAACATTTCCCACTTGGACTGGCTACGACGGAGGCATCATGAGGCCTAACCACCGCTGGACCGTCCTGCATGTGTTCATCTTGGCAGGGATGCTTCTCACCTTAAAAGCTGACAGTAAGTTATTTTTTGGGGTGCATTGTGCAGTCTCAGTATTTGTGTAGTGTCACCTCTCCTTCCTCTGCAGGTCTCAAGTGTGTTTAATCAGGCCCTTAGAGTAAAAAGTCAGCTTCGTGACCGCTATCCAAGTTCTCTGGTGAAGGTCGGAGGCCTGGTTTCTGTATAGGTCATGCACTTTAAAAGTGTATGATAATAGAGTTAAAAAGCAGCTTATACAGTTTTAAAAGGAATACGTTGGCACACAGTCATCTCCAAAACCCAACGAGTTAGGTCAATAAGGTTATTCTTCCTTTAATATACCACATTATATTCTTAATCTTCTCTAAAAGTCTGTAAATTCTGCCATGAATGTCTGTTGAACTCACTCATAAAAATCGGTTTCTGATGCTAAAAATGCTACTTTCAGGTCTTCCACGGCGGGTGGAAGTGGGAGTTTGATGGAAACAATTAGAGATTGAATGCGAACATAAAAGAGGCAGAAACATATTTTGATCAAAACACGGCACAAAAAAAGAAACATTTTTCTGTAGTAGCTTTATAAGTCTTCTACCCACGTCATGTTCCTGTTGCTATAATTTACCATTTGTCATAAAGGTGTGATTATCTTATGTGACTCTATTTACTGCCACCGACCACAGTGTCATTCATGTGTTCATCTATAAGTGTTCACTTATGAAGGTATATTTGTGTCTTTATTACGCAAACAAAAAAAAAATGTTTTAAAAGCAAATTTCTCGCACTGCAATCAAAAATCAACTTTGTAAGTGAAAATATATAAACTGAGAATAATTT